CCCCTAATACTAAATATCTACAAAAACTATTATATATACTTCTACAATAAGTAGCCTAAATTAGATCTAATATCCACAGCTCTACAAGAAAGCTTCATAAATGCAGTGTTATTTACTTGACCAACACAATGGTAATCGTCCACCTATGTCACAGTGCATTTCACCTATCACTTCAATGTTCTAGAAATGAACGATCTTACGGATTTATTGGTTGGACTTGCTAGCCATTTTTTCAGGGATGTTGCAAAAATTGTATCCTCCTAAGTAAAACATCAGTTTCCTTGGTAATAAAGTGTGAATAACATCTAAGAGAGAGAACTGCGTTGAAGAAGGCATATAAAAAGCAGGTAAAATTTCCATGCAATTCAACAAAGTATATTATATTTTTTCTACCTGTAAAATACAGAAACTTCAGCATGTTGCTTAGGACACTCATGCACAAATACTGGTCTTTTCAGAAGACTGTCAAAAGAAAATGCCAATCTCTTCTACTAATTTCAGTGGGGAAAAATTCTACTGCCTCACCAATTTACAAACTGTATGTTCAAAGAAAAAGAGTAGGCTATGCTTGAGCCACATTCCTGAGTTCGAAGAGTAAGAGTCCATCAAAAAATAAGTAAACAAACCTACGTTGCTCACATAAAACAGTGATAAAAAATGTGAAACAGAAACTTCTTTCAAAGTTTTAAGGATTTACTAACAAGTAAGTACAGTTCTTCAGTGAAGTCCAAAGGATATTTGTGTAAAAACAGATTTCATGTATGTTACATGTATATGCATGCAAGCTGTTTTCTTGCTTGTTCAGTCTTTCCATTCTGTGGCACTATTTTGTCCGAACTCTTTCAGAAGAAAACATGTAAGTGAGTCTTCAAAGTGCCTCAGAGATTTATTTTTTTTTTCCTCCAATCTCTGGAAGGAAAACAAACACTCTTACTTTCATCAGCTTCTGTTTTGAGGAACTACATGATGTGGTCATTGGAAATTCAAAAATTTGAAATACATTAATTAAATTATAAATTATCAGACTGAAGAACTCAAAGATATGCAGGCATCTAACTGCCCACCATGCTGAAGGGAGTGACAGACGGGTGGATCTGGCCCAGAAGGAATAAGCAACTCAGCCAGAAGGATGGAGCAGTATAAAACACGACTTGGCTTCTTATGCAACGCGTGATGAAATTTTAACTCAGCAGTCTGAGTAATGAACTGCTCAGAGTTTGCCAAAGGGGAAACACTGTGGCATGGAATAGTTCCCTAAGTTTTGTCCTACTTCATGGTCTAAGTATTTTATTCAGCTTTTTCAGAAGCCATTGATTTCCACTTTGATTCACAGCCAAGAACCTGTTCCTGAAGGGAAGGCAGTCAAGTTCTTTTGGTACAATTCCTAGTGCATACAGTCCCTACCCCTCTAAGAAATTACTACCTATCAAGCACATGACAAAGAAAATTTACTTTGGGTGTTTTGATGAGGCCCAGCTGTGAGATAGGTAGGAACAGAAAAGATGATCACTCTTAAGGCTCTGGTGTTTCCTCACATGTCAGAAATCAATTCTTCAAGGTTAGCGATTGGTCATGTAGAAGAACTGAGCGTTTGTGTCCCTTCAGCTGAGCAAGGCTTGTCGTAATCAGAGCTCTGGAGAGAGCAGTTGGTTCTGGCTAATCCAATCTCTTCGGAAAATCTGGTACATTTACAGGCAAGGTGCAGTACAGAGATACCACTTTGTATCACAGAAACTATGAATGCCAGATTCCTTCCTGGCTACTTAGACATGTGTCTCACCAGGATTGATCAATCTGAGCTACAGAGCTACACCAGCGTAACGTACAATGATTCTCGTTATGGATCTAGGCTGTGTAACTCTCTGCAGAGTTGCATTGTGCTGTGCAAGTTCAACTGACATTACTTTCTGGATCATGATTTCTGTGACAAGAAAAGGTTATATAGGAAGGCCTTAAGGACTGAAAATTGAGCCACATGAAGCTTCACATTACAGCTGGATGCACAAGTCATAATGGGCCAAGCATCAAATATGCAAGATGAGTACGAAAAGCAAAACTGTGGCCAAAAATAACAGCCCTTTAGCATGTTCCTAAAAACCTGCTTTCAAGGGCACAATCTTAAGACATACAGAAAGACTCCATGAAACTACTATCCCAAGGAAGTAAAGCAGAGTTCACCATGTAGGGCACTCTGAGTACTTGTTATGTATACCTGTAGCTGTTTTAAGATGTTAGACCAAGATATGACAGAAAACACCACTGTAATCTATTTTAGCCTGACTAAAATTGCAAATATGGATAGCTACTCCCTATATTAGTTTTAGATACTTGGGTATTAATAGGCATAGGTAACAGATATTAACAAGAGAAATTTCTTTTATATTTTTTTGAGTGAATTATTTCAAAAAGCAGCAACAAAACTTAATATCTAACTTCCCAATATTAAAATATGCTGATTACAATCAGTCCAATTTGATTATTCCTTGATAAGTAAAAGCATTTGAATAATACACCTACGTCTCATCAGACAATGGTGACACCACTGAAGGATGTATATTCACTTTTACTGGAGACTTACAGGTAGGATTTCACTTCAAGTAATGACAGTATTTAAAATAAATGCAATTGATTTAAAGATTGTTTTAAAAAGCTCTTTACCAATAAAAGCTTAGTAATAACAGCTATAAATTCTGATTTCAGTTTGTGTTCCACCAGAAAAGCATGCTTAAAACAATTAATTAATTATTCAGTAGCTGAATAAAATAAAGATGCCAAAATCTTCAAATTGCTCTGTATCAGCAAGAAAATTCTTTTTAAAGCATTTACTATTTGTCTTGCTTTAAAGCAGGTATGTCTAATAAGCTTAGCTTCACAGGGGTCAGATTTATGAAAAAAAGTATTTTTAAGCAAGCTTTTTCTGTACCCACAGACTCAAAAAGACTTTAAGGCAGATAGTTTTTTCTTAACACATATTACTCCACAACAGAATTCTTTACTTTCCAAGTCTTTGTCTTGCTATACTATATGAAAGGAACATTCTCAAATCTGGATGAGCACTGGAAAGTCAGCACAGAAGCCACACTGGTATTTGACTTCACTTAATATTTGTGTCTACTCTCTACTGTGTTCTACTCTCTCCCACAATGATTTAGTATTTTTAAAACTAACATAAAATTAAAACATTTAATATGTATGGAAGAAACAATGACACCACACAAATATTAGATTATTATTGTTTTCTTTTTTTAAATCACTTGACAAGTCTAAGAACATATATCTAATCGTAATTGTTTAATGTTGTCTTCTGGACAGCACTATTTCAAGTATTTCTTAAAATGTTTTTAGTTGATATGATAGAAATTTTAAACTCTCATATATAAAACATTGCTGACCCAAATTACAGATGTCAAAAATTTGTGTATAATCTCCTGTTATTCTCGGTACTGATTTATTCCATAGAGAGATTACTATTCAAAATATTAAACTTCTCAAATAACTGGAGTCTCAAGAAACAGCTGAATGACCTTGATGCAACTGATGACTCAAAAGTATAACTTTACCAAAAGGAAAGAAGTTCACCGAAGAAATATTTCCTTCTAAATAAGGAGTTTCTCAACCTCTGTATCACTCTCCAGAATAATCCTAAAATAACAGTATTATTCAAACATAACTCAATATTATTCAAACACAGATCAGATTATAGATTTTCTGAAATACAATCATAGTATACTTAAAAATTTAAAGTGCTGGAGTGCAAATTTAAAGTGCACTTAGGTGCAAATATAGCACTGTACTGCACTGCCAAATACTACCTACTCTGTGCTTAAATAATTCTAAGTAATAGTTTCTCTGATGTTGATATAAGTCTAGCTGGTGGGGAAGATTATATAAAGTTAAGACTTCGTCTTACGGAGTTAATTGTAAATTGATTTATTAAGAATATTTATCTTTAAGACAGCTTCATGTACAGCTTCTGCTGAATCAATGAAAGATTCTTCTGACTTTGGCCCTTTTAACTGAACTGTTATATTCAGTATTTTTGTTGCTCTGACATTCTACTGAATTATTATTTCCTACTTGTCATGGAAAACTACCATTTATTTGATTGTAGTCTGAATTGGTTCAACTGAGGAGGAGTTTCTTCCAGGAGTGACAGGTATTTTTTGTAGCTTTTCCTACTAGCATCACACAAAACTTGGCACTAAGATTGGCATTATCATACTTGATCTTATGTATTCAAAAGATATCACACAATACTTGCGATGATAAAAACAGAAGATATGCCTCACGTTTTTTTTTTTTTTCTTGATCCTTGAAACTCAGTACTATCATCTTTCATTTATGAGGTTCACCTCAGAAAACAAAAAAACTAGTATCAAGAAGCTCAAACTACATAATCTTTACTTGCACCAAACTGACCAAGATCAGCTTCCTTTTGTTACAGTTTCTTAAATAATCTCATCATCATCCAAACAATGTGCTAGAACAATTTTTTAAATTGAAGAAAGCCAATTTTTTTTTAAAAAGAGTATTTTATCATTACAGTTTGATGTCAGGTCAGCAGCTTTAAGTAATTATCTCTAATGCTTTTAATACCTCGAATGATGAAATTATGATAAAAACAGGTTCACAAAACTTGTATTAATACATCTCAAACTATGCAGCTAAAAAGCCCTCGCTGAAAATTACAGCTGTATTGGTAGTGGAAACAGGAGTTTTACTGTTAATCCATTCAGACTACATAAAATCAATTAATTCTAAATATGACTACTACTTTGTTACAGGACAAACCAGATACCAAATTGTATGAAATTAAGCCTTTTCTTGAAATTTTCTTTTTAAAAAGTAGATCAAAATGTGTATTTTCAAACGTGACTAAAATCTCACACTCCCTGGTGTAAAATTTTTTACAAGAAGATGATCAATCATGTCCTCAGTGGTAATTCATAACAGCAACAAAATTAATTACATTACAAAGAAATTAACAATTCATACATTACCTAATGCTGCTCATGCTTCCAGTTTCTGATCCAAGCTTACATCTCTCCAGTTGGCTAGCTACAATCTGACGTTCAGCCTCAAGTTCTCGAGTCAGTCTCTCAAACTGCAGCTCCTGGAAAAGTAGATTAAACCATTTTTTTTGACTTCTCAAGATTAAGAAGCAATTTCAGTATAGAAAATTACAATTTCTGCAAGAACTGTTAATATATCCTATAGGAAAGCTTTTTTTTTTTTTTTTAAAACCACATTCTCAGTTCAAATTTTTGTGGTAACAACTACTCATTCCTTCATCCACTCTAATTATGTATGTTGTAGAACAAGATGTTTTATCAAGAATGGAATTTTCAAATACATTAAACAATGTAGATGTATGTGAAAATCATTTATAGTTCATGTAGGCCTCTTAGGAGCATATAAATGGGTTCTTAACAAGCTGATCTAAGTATGATCACAAAGAAAAACAATTTGTGTTACTTAAAAAGATGCAAAGTTCCGCAAATGATCATGCGGTGACGAAAGCTTTTGTACTCAAAAAGACAACCACCACAGCACACGCTAGTGAAATAAACTAAATTGAAGGTGTGTTGTTATGGACTGAACACAGTTTAATTTCTGCATTTAATGATGTGCAGAAATGAAAATCAAGTAGTTTTGGACAAAAGCCATATTAAAAATCTTACTGCTAAGTGAATGTATTTCTTTTTATTCAGTCGAGGAAGACAAACCAGTCCCACCAGGCAAGATTTATCCACAGAGCTTATAAATGTACTTTTAACAAGTTTTATACACAAGAAATTTTTTTTTTAATTAAAAGAAAAAAAAAAAGGCAAAACCAATACAAGTAACATCCCCACTATTCCTTAAAGAGCTACACTTCACACATATGGTAACAGTAATTTCATCAAATACAGAATTGAAACACTTTTAGGGAATTACTTTTGCTGTAAATTTGCCAGATGTTGCTGCCCTTTCACTTTGATCAGTTACATTTAGTCATTTTCACAGGTAAACAGGAACAGTGCTCTTGAAACTTTTCTTTGGGTTTGTTGAAGCCTGAAAGAGATATATTTTGGGAATCCACTTGTTATTTTATTCCTAAATCCAAACAAATGCACCCATTATCTCTTTCTCCCTCTTTTCTTCCAAAAAAAGACCTCTCTGTGATGCAGAGGTATGGGACAGAGTCCCTTGAGTAAGTCCCCAGCAATGTACTGCCTAACAGAAAAAAAGCACTGGAAATTACTTGGGTAATGACTTACACCCATCAAGTGACACTGAAGAACTTGGTATTTGAGAGAAAGGAAGAAATGTTAGGAGTAGCAAGAAGGATTAAAAATTCTTCATCCTATCTGCTACCTAAAATCTCTAAACAAGAAGTCAAGGGTAAATGGAGACATTAAACTCCTCAAATCTGAAACGAGGCAAACCACAACTGAAATCAAAGCGGGAAATGGCTGGTGGTTGTTCTACCTAATCCAGTTGCATCAGTCCTCTTCCTCTTGTTATGGGCATGGAATAACTTCTGCCCTGCACTATGAGTAAGGGGGAAAGGAAGTCCAAGTACAATTTATGTAGAGCACAAAGCAGCTGATGTATACTTTAATGGCCACTATTTGACAAAGCCTACTTAATTCTGTATTCATTATTCCAAGCAACACTATACAGAGCAAAAGAACACCATCAAGAGTCAGGTTGATGTAAACAGCGAAACATCACTCCTTACTGAATCTTAATAGTGCATTAGTAACCACAGTTAATAATATTCTCTGCACGTTTTTGTAGTACTCAGAAATGTCTTTTTCTTTGTTGTAGGACTATTAAAAGCTACCTAATAATAATCACCTAATTCAGATATGCCTACTTCACAGAGAGCATTTATCTCTCACCTCGTAGAATCAATTGTCTAAACAGACTGTTGATCAACTTTCCAAGAGCCATTATTCAAATCCCGGACTTGTTTGCATAAAATAATACCCTTACTGCAGAAAGGATTGTAACAGAATTAGTGAAGTTTTGAAGAACGTAAAATCAAAGTGGTATAGTATTTGCTATGGCAGCATGCTTATATCAAAGCATGTAAACACTGAGAAGTTTTGATAGTATAAAATACCAAACAAAACCAAACAGAGCATTAAGTTTACTTTCAAAATAAAAGCAGAAGCTTTAATAGCTATTCTATTCCACTGCATTTTTAATGTTACTTGGTTATATCATGACAATGTTATCAAATGCACATTTTGATGCTTAGCATATGTTTTCCTCCAGCCAGCTTCACTTCCCACCATCCCAGGTGAGGCAGGTCAGACATGTTCTTTGGAATGGCCTAGCAGAGGGCACTTTTTTACCTTCTTAGTGAGAGGATAAAACTGTCCTCATAACATTACTAAGAGAACATTAAGAATCAAGGGCTCGGGAGGTAATGCTCCCACCTGTCCATGCTGTCATTTGCCTTTCCCCAAACAAGTGTAGCTCATTGTGTCCTTCTACTCTGGTAGGTGTGCAAATGACCTCTCACTAGCCCCCTTTTATCCATGCTATCCCAAGTCAACTAAATACAGAAATGCCCCCAAACCTATTTTATTGAAATACTTTAGAAGTATTATTCTGTGTTTTTCTTTTCCCCTCTATCTGGATTGTGTATCATACATATTTTCTATGCTTCCTATTTTCAGTATATCACTCTAGTTGACTACTCTCCAGACAATTCTACATTTTCCTAACTATTACTTTGTCTACAGAACATTTTTTTCTCATGATTCGTCTCCAAAATATACATTTCTGCTCTTGACTGTCATTTATCTTCCTTTCATACTTACTCCTTTCTGTTCTCTTCTGCACTCCATCTTTCATTTCTAGCACACTTCATGACTCACCCTCCACTAATCTCTTTCAGTCCTACTATACAAATTGCTACTCTAGCAAATCCCCTAAAATGATCAGTTTAAGCAGCCTCTCTCTCAATAATGGGTCCCTTATTGAGGGACTCTGCTCTTCTTAAGATGTAGAAATGAATGTTTTCTGGTTTCACTGCCCGCAGTATTTAAGTCCTGCCATGTAGAGATGACTCAAAAAGGACAGTTATGTGTATGTTACTCCTCAAGCAGGAAGGAGAGATGTGCTGCATCACTTATGAAAATAATAATGTTGCATTTCTAATGCATGAAAATGGCTAAATAGGTGAACAGTAACTTCATTACTAGATAGATTTAGCTGTTGTTATTTCTCACTTAATTGTCTTCTGTCAGGTGCCATCAGAAGTTAGGGATGGAAGGAAGAACATGGTGGGGGGTGATATGTGAAGGGGCAGAGGCAAATAATTATTACCTCAGAATTATCCTCTACATTACATTTAACAAACTGTGTTAGGTATTGCCTCATGTGATGACAAAGGTGCAGGTCCACCGCATTGCCTTTGTAAGGAAAGAAGAAAAGAAGAATTCATGTAAGAGTCGGGAAAGTCTGCTATCCCTCTGTATCAAGAATTCTTGGCAGAAGCAAATCAATAAGCTTCCTTCTCTTTGTTCGTGAAGCAGTGAGAGTGACTAATATTTGAATAAATACATATGTTTAGCTTTCAAGCAGCTGTCACAGTGCAAGAAGACAGAAACTAGAAATAGTATTTGCTTACATTTTATAAAAATAACCACTGAATTTGACTCTGTCATTTGTCTTATTTGTTCTGTTTACAATCATTTTTACCAGTTCATGCCGTGTTGTGTTATCTTCACAACCTTCTATTATTTATCTGAATCAAGCTAATCGGAACATCAAAATTAAAAACAAATTCCTACCCACTGATTATGCAAATCTGTTGTCAAGACAATTGCAGAATGAAGAACTGCAGAAACTACACTGCAACATCAAAATTAATTTAAGTAATGCCACATCAAGTGTAGTTTCATGGACTGTGCTACAAAGGGCAATGATGCCAAAAACAAGTGCACATGCAAAGGCACTGCAAAGTGAAATGAGTAGTCCTAGCACATAGCACCATAAAGGGTGTGGGAGTGGGAAGCCAACAGAAAGATTAGAGATAATCATGAGAGTAATCACTCAAGAGAGCTGCTTGGAAAGGGAGGAACTTAATGACAACTTTATCAAATTGTTTGGAAGTGATCAAAAGAGTAGATATCTGCTAGGGCCTGGCAATTTGTGTTTAGAAGTGGTATTTGTCCACTACCATGAGGGTTTTTTGTAAAAAAAAAAATAAATCTTCATTATTCCATAGACAGCAATTGTATGTATTTGCCTTTTCAGTATGAGATTTACATTTTATCTACCCTCTGCAGCCACCAAAACTTCAAGCATTAAATAAAACTTGAGTGAGGTCACAAGTTTAACAGTGGTTCAGAAACTGAATAAGCCTGATGGAAATCTTCACAGCCTTCGGACAGATTATGAACTCCTGAGCTCAGGGCACACCAAGTAAGAGGGTATTTGATTATTTTTATGCTTTGTATCTGCTGGGTGGTCTGTACTGACCCATTTGAATATTGAGAGGGGTAAAACAGGTCAAATGAAATTTGGCTGATATTCAGAGCTGATCTCACTCTACTCTGTCCTTTACAATCTTAAAAGTAATCCTTCAATCCTTTTACAGAGAGATGTGTATTGATGCTGAGGCAAGACACAGCAAAAACAGTAGAGTTGCTGATACAAAAAAAGAATATATCTAAATTTAGTCTGAACAGCCTTGCAGATTTTTTGAATTCCCAAGAATCTTAAGGTCATACCATTAAAAGAGGAAACGTGTTTAGCTTTTGACTGTAAATATGCTACACAAAAACCAACTGGTATAACAATCATTTGAATCTTCAAATACAGACAAATAACAGCACTGAGGTAAGTCTGGAATCCCTGGTGAGATGAATAGAGAAAGCCTGATTATAGCTACACAAACAAATAAAATGTCTCCTGGATTGAAGACTACCATAGGAGTATCTCAGAAACCACAAAACTTCCTAAAGTACATAGTCTGTATAAATGTACAACATTGTCTGTGTCTTGTTGTAAGCTATTGAACAAGAAAAACTGTACCTCAATGTCACAAGTATTACATGTATACTCCTGTGCACATCCTATTGGCATCATGCATAATTCCATATCCTGCAC